AAAACATGATGAGGATACAAATCAGTTTATAATCAGATGTTACTCAACATTTAAATGAATGGGAACAAAAACATGTCTTCTTCAGAAAGTAAACTTTATTAATGTAAAACTAATATTACTTCAGATGACCTTTATTCAGACGTTATTGTTTACTAATTATTAAAAACCTAGATTTACTTTTTACAACTAACATCTATTCCAGTTCCTTCAAGAATCAGACAACATCTAAGTCTGCAGTTCTTACTTTAGTAGCTACAAATGAAAATATGAATAAAAGAACATTTACAACTGAATGGATGCAAGTTAATGATGTAGAAGAATCAGGATGAATATCTAATGAAACATGAGATCTCCAGCAGTAACAGAGAGTCAGTGAACTGACCTGAGAGTCTCCAGTCTGCAGTCTGGGCTCTCCAGAAGATCTCTCAGCAGCTCCACATCTGAATCCTTCAGAGCGTTGTAACTCAGGTCCAGATCTCTCAGATGGAAGTTGGACTTCAGACCTGAGATCAGAGCAGAACAGCTGATCTCTGACAAACTGCAGCCACTCAGTCTGAATAAAGAAAACATGATGTAACTTTAGAAAACAATGTTCCTGTTTGAAATAACTCCAGGTTTAATAATCTGTTCAGAGTTAAACAGGGTTTTAATGTCAGAGATGATGCAGAAACAATCCACTGATAATCTGGAACTTTAACTTTGATCAGATGTTTATCAACTCCTTCATCTCCCTCACAGCTCATCAGTACTGACAGCATCTCCACTGACTCATGGAGCACAGAGTGAGTCTGTGGAAGCTCAAACACTCTCCCTCACACATTCACCTTCTCTCTGTTACTCTGATCAATATGCAGTCATTAGCAAAAGTGGAACAAATAATTTAAATGTATTTGTTCAAATTCAGAAAATCATAAACACAAACAGATGAAGTTCAGTCAGTGAACTGACCTGAGAGTCTCCAGTCTGCAGTTTGGACTCTTTAGTCCAGAGCTCAGCAGCTCCACTCCTGAATCCTTCATCTCTTTGTTCCAACTCAGGTCCAGATCTCTCAGATGGGAGGGGTCAGACTTCAGAGCTGAGGCCACGACTTCACAGTGAGTCTTTGAGAGTTCATAGCAAGCAAGTCTATAATAACACATAAATTACAACATGTGTTAAAAAGAGGAAACATAATAACCTCAAGCATTTGCTGAATAAATATTTGATATGTTCTGATTGAGATTTCCTGTTGGTCCATTTTATATATAATAATTAGGGCTGTCAGTCGATTAAAATATTTAATCGCGATTAATCGCATGATTGTCCATAGTTAATCGCGATTAATCGCAAATTAATCGCACATTTTTTATCTGTTCTAAATGTACCTTAGAGGGATATCTTTCAAGTTTTTAATACTCTTATCAACATATGAGTGGACAAATATGCTTTATATGTTTGTTTATTATCATTTGAACAATGACAAATATTCTCATGAATATTAAACACAACAACCTCTGAACATTACAAATATTCGCCTCAATTCAACCTGGAACCTCTCTCATACAATACTGTGTGTGTGTGTGTGTGTGTGTGTGTGTGTGTGTGTGTGTGTGTGTGTGTGTGTGTGTGTGTGTGTGTGTGTGTGTGTGTGTGTGTGTGTGTGTGTGTGTGTGTGTGTGTGTGTGTGTGTGTGTGTGTGTGTGTGTGTGTGGAGACACTGTGATGAAGCGTTGGAGCTATGTGCAGCTCAAGGCATATATGCTCGAATGGGAGCTGTCTGGACGCTGCAATCATGTTGCGCGTACGATCCGTGCTGAGTGTGCTGACTTTTCGTACAATGTCCCACTGTCTGGCTACCTGCATAAAGTCAAGTGCTCGGCGCAGTTGTCGGCAAAATGTCATTGAAACAGCTCCTTAAATCCGTTAGCGCAGCTAGCTAGCACCAGATGCTAACAACAACAACACGTAAGGTGTGCCTCGCTTGCGCGAGTCGCGCCACACATACACACTCCCTCCCGGTCCTCCCGATGGCCAGTCCGGGCCTGCCGGTGAGCGTGGAAGTGTGGTCTGCCACAAGCGGGCGGCAGGAGCGAGGCTGTCAGCATCAGCTTGTCTATGGTATTTTACACTCGATGCGCTCTGAAACTACGGCGGCGGAGGACAAAAAATACACATGCGTTAATCGCGTTAAAATAATTAGTGGCGTTAATTTTTTTTTGCGTTAACGCGTTATTAACGCGTTAACTTGACAGCCCTAATAATAATATATAATAACAGTGTAATGTGTTGTCAGTGTGATCTGATCACATGTCTGTGCTCCTGCTGTCACTGACTGTTACCAAAGAAACAGAAATTAAATAAATCACTTGACAATATTAGAGATGTACATATTTAAATGTTAATTAATATTTGGATGTGAATGATGGATGTTTTGTCTTCTCTGAGCATCTGGAAATGTACTGCGCACACAAACACAATTAACAAACCAATAAAGTTTCAATATTTTAAACTGAATACCATCAGATGTTCTCACTATATGAGCATTAAGACATAACTCTGTTATTGGTGGGATATTATATAGATCTGATTTTAAACTCTAACACATTGTGATCAAATTGTGTGTGTTTAATGATAAAGAAACTACTAGAAAGTAATAATAACTGATAACTGTAAGTCCTGCTGTGTGGTGTGATCACATGCTGAGGAACCTCTAAAGTCCTTCATGTGTTTGACATGTCGCCTCTCAGTATTTAAACAGCAGAAATGTTATCGTGTTTATTTGAATAATTAAACTCCTGATCCACATTAGTTTATAAAGTGAATCACATCTGGACTTACTTGGCCTTCCTGCAGTTCCTCACAGCTGGAATCAGTCTCCGTTTCCCCTCATCTGATGTGTTGTACTGACTCAGGTCCAACTCATCCAGAACCTCCTCTGACATCTGCAGCATGTAGGCCAGAGCAGAGCAGTGGATCACAGAGAGATTATTTGATCTGTTCCCTGACTTCAGGAACTCTGTGATCTCCTGATGCACTGAGTGGTCCTTCATCTCTGTCAGACAGTGGAAGATGTTGATGCTCCTTTCAGGAGAGCTTTTATCACTTCTCATCTCCTTCAGGTTGCTGATGGCTCTCTGGATGACTTCTGGTCTGTTGTCTGTGCGACCCAGCAGGCCTCCTAACAGTCTCTGGTTGGACTCCAGAGAGAGGCCGTGGAGAAAGCGGACAAACAGGTCCAGGTGGCCATTTCTACTTTTGAGGGATTTCTCCATGGCTCCTTTTAGAAAGACATCCAGGGATGGGTACTCCTGATCACTGCTGTTACTGTTCTCATCGGGCAAGTCTCTCTGCAGGAAGTCCTTCAGTACCTTTGTGTTCCTGTTGGTGTAACAGTGCAACATGTAGACTGCAGCCAGAAACTCCTGAACGCTCAGATGAACAAAGCAGTAGACTGTTTTCTGGAAGATCACTCTCTCTCTTTTGAAGATCTCTGTACAAACTCCTGAGTACACCGTGGCCTCGGTGACACCAAGACCACAGCGCTGCAGGTCTTCTTGGTAGAACATGATGTCTCCTTTCTCCAGATGTTCAAACGCCAGCCTCCCCAGCTTCAGAAGAACCTCCCTGTCAGCCTCCGTCAGCTGCTGTGGACTCGTCTCATGTCCCTCTTCATACTTCTGCTTCTTCCTCTTGGTCTGGACCAGCAGGAAGTGTGAGTACATGTCAGTGAGGGTCTGGGGCAGCTCTCCTCTCTGGTCTGTAGTCAACATGTGGTCCAGAACTGCAGCAGTGATCCAGCAGAAGACTGGGATCAGACACATGATGTGGAGGCTCCTGGAGCTCTTGATGTGAGAGATGATTCTGCTGGACAGGTCTTCATCACTCGATCTCCTCCTGAAGTACTCCTCCTTCTGGGCGTCAGTGAAGCCTCGTACTTCTGTTACCCTGTCCACACACTCAGGAGGGATCTGATTGGCCGCTGCAGGTCTGGAAGTTATCCAGACGAGAGCCGAGGGAAGCAGCTTCCCCCTGATGAGGTTTGTCAGCAGCACGTTGACTGAGGACTGCTGAGAGACATCAGACACAACCTCATTGTTTCTGAAGTCCAGAGAAAGTCTGCTTTCATCCAGGCCGTCAAAGATGAGCAGCACTTTGCAGACAGCCAGCTGCTCTGCTGTGACCTTCTGTAAGGTTGGATGGAAAACATGGAGCAGCCTGAGAAGACTGTACTGCTCACCTTTGATCAGGTTCAGCTCCCTGAAGGAGAGCGGGATCACCAGACTGACATCTTGGTTCTCCAAACCCTGGGCCCAGTCCAGAGTGAACTTCTGCACTGAGAAGGTTTTTCCAACTCCAGCGACTCCGTTGGTCAGGACCGCTCTGATGAGAGTCTGTTGGTCAGGTGAGGCTTTAAAGATGTCCTGGCACTTGATTGGAGTTTCATGGAGGGTCTCTTTCTTGGAAGCTGTCTCCAGCTGCCTCACCTCATGTTGGGTACTAACCTCTTCACTCTGGCCTTGTGTGATGTAGAGCTCAGTGTAGATCCTGTTGAGGAGGGTTTCACTTTGATCAGTTCCTTCAGTCACACGTTCACATCTCCTCCTCAGACTGAGCCTATGTTCATCTAAAACCTCCTGCAAACCACTCTCTGCTGAAAGAGAAGAAACAGGAGAGAATCAGGAAATGCTTTTGAGAATCTAACAATACAACTAATGTTTAATAAACATTGTAATGTCTATGCTCTTCAACAGAATACCTAATAAAAGAAACAAAGGAACCAGGAAGAAGAATAAGACGCTGCATGAGTTCGGCCTCTTACCTCGTACAGAGCTGCTCTGACTGGCTGTCTGCAGGCCAGCTCTGGTTCTGGATCTTTCTCCACACTGGGGACAGGAGGGGTCTCCTGATGGAGGTCTCTGCTCCCAGTATGAGGTGATGCACTGTCTGCAGAACCAGTGTCCACAGCTGGTAGAGACTGGATCCTTCAGGACGTCCTGACACAGAGAACAGCTGGACAGCTGCTCCTCCACAGGAACACCACTCTTCCTCTTCCCTCTGTGGAGATGAACACATCCTTTATAGCACTTTACATTAGTGGAGCTGATTCTCACCAAAGGCACAACAAGGGGGAAGATTCTAGTTTGATATTTAAAAAAAGGTCTATATAATATACCCTTGTGATCAGGTAGATAGCTTACAGTTCACATGATCATAAAACCAGAGAGCATCCTGTCTGGATTCCTGACCCAGAGGAGCACATGTTCCCTGTATCTACACACAGCTGTATGAACCTGGTGCTTTATAAACCCAACATAGAATCTGCTGTGAATTCATAGCAATAAACATATGGAAAGGATGCCTAAATAACAACAGAATGAAACTGATTTGTAAAAAGCCTGAGATAATGCTTTGTCAGGTCTGTCTCCAACACAATGAGCATACAAACATTTTAAAATGTTTTTTTCTAAAGAGATGGGTTTGATTAAAGCTAGGCTAACATTAGCTGCTCCATCCTCACTTAGAGTAACTTCATGAAGTCATAAGTACAGCAGTGTCTATATTGTTAGCACCACAGACAGTCTCTGGTTTATACAGGAACATGAATAACCCTGATTGAATATGAGCTGCTGTAGAGCTCTGTTCTCCTCTCTGATTCCCCTCAGACCGTCAGAGACCACAGGAGCTCAATCTCAACTCTGACAGGTTTTTGTAACAGAGCGTCACGAGATAAGTTTGTGCCCCGATGGAAGGCTGACAGGCAAAAATGATTGGTCGTACTTTTTACAGTACTATGGCTTCCACAGATGACATTTCTTATGGATTTTTTTAAGATATTCATTGCTATCGGGATGTTAAGAGCATTCCATGGAATATAACAAAAAGTGTATCTCGAGCCGGTTTCTCAAACTTACCTACCCTACCTTTAAATAATGTTTTGGACGATATATTTCTTTTTTTAAATCAGAATTTATCAACATTCTTGCTCTTTAAAACCATTTTATACACAGATACAATGATAATATAATTGCATATTGAAATATCCTCAGATAATGTTAGCTTGCTGTACTCTGCTGCGTGTTCCCTTTACAAACTGCTCACATGATTTCATTAAAGAACAGTTTCATATATTAGATTATATAAAACTGAATCCTCTTCAAGTCAGGTTACAGTAGAAACTCTTACTTTGTGTCTGAGGGTCCAGGTTCATTACTGAAGGATATAGGAAGCCACATAGACCCGTCACTCTTCAGAGACAGACAGCTGGGGACTGGAGACCCTGCTCTCTGTCTGTGGAAACAACGGGGGGTTACGTATTGTAACCCTAGTTATATAAACACAGGCGGAGCCCTCTACTGGACTCTATGGGTACTACTCTCTATCATGCTGTGCCCCAATCAGGGCGAGCCTACCTGAATGTGCGCGCAGGCCCACAGTATATAAGGCGGCTACAGCCGCCGCCCCACTATCCTATACACTCTTCAGCGAGCGGACTAGGAAAGACAGGGCCTCCAGGTAGAGGGCTCCGCCTGTGTTTATATAACTAGGGTTACAATACGTAACCCCCCGTTATATCTCACACAGGCTCCGCCCTCTACTGGACTCTATGGGTACAGTGGGCGGAGCCCCGATGTATAAACGCCCTGTCGTCCAACAACATCGACCCACCACACCGTCCCTGACCGGCTTTTGGCTAACATCCACTGCATCCCCACTTCCTCCCATCCGGTTGTAACCGTGGAGAAGTCGGGGCCGCAACTTGGATAAGGCACACTCACACACGCTTACCTCGTGTAGAGTGTGCATGGAAAAAACTGTGCGGAGACTCCGTCTGGAGCCTACCGCGCACCATGTTCCCCAGGTCCCTCAGGAGCACGGGAAAACATAAGTGCACCACATCCCCCACACTCACACACGCTCCGTGTAGATTGGGCACGGACAATAGTGAGGAAGGCTCTCCAGCCCTGTTTGGGGCTGATTGCGCACCATGTCTCCCGAGTCCCTCAGGAGCATGGGAAAAACATAAGTGCTTTATGTCCAGGGGGGGGGGTCAGATACCTGCTGACCCACAGCCACCCCCCTCTCACCAGTCATGCGTTGCCTCGGCAAGCACCGACGACGAGAAGGAGCCAGACATGTCCAGGAGATAACATTTTATGAAGGGGCCTGGCGTAGACCAAGACGCCACCGTGCATATATCTTCTACACTCACGCCGCTGAATAAGGCTGTTGACACAGCCACAGCCCGTGTAGAATGTGCACGGACCCCAGTGGGGAGGGCTCTCCCCGCCCGTCCATAGGCATGTGTAATGCACCTGCATAGCCATCCTGTTAGGCGCTTCTTTGAGAGGGCTTTTCCAGCCACACACCATCCCCAAAGCACACAAACAGTTGTTCAGTGCGCCTAATGGCAGCCGTGCGCTCTACATAGCATGCTAGCGCACGCTGTTTGTAGTGTGTTGGTCTTTTGTAGAGGTTTTTCATTGCCAGCTAAAATCTTGCCTAGGGCAGCAAACTGGTCAGAACCGGCCCTGGTGTCATCCCCACAGCACCCCCATTTCAAACACGTTCCCACGGCTATGTCAGATACCAACATACTGAATCCTCTTCAGGTCAGGTTACAGTAGAGACTCTTACTTTGTGTCTGAGGGTCCAGGTTCATTACTGAAGAGTGGAGGTCTCCACATAGACCAGTCACTCTTCAGAGACAGACAGCTGGGGACTGGAGACCCTGCTCTCTGTCTGTGGAAACAACAAGTTTTAAACATCATTAGTTCATCTAAAGAGCAGCTTTTGATCTATGACTGTTCACCTGATTAAAGATTTGTAGAGTTTTTGAGTCGTGATTTTGGGTTTCTGTTTTTAAAATTCATTCAAGTCCAACATGTAGAGAGTGAGGATGATTTCACTAGTAGATTATTTACTATTGCTGATGATGACAAGAAGCAAGAGTTCAATTACCCTTTGTTAATGTTCTCTACTGGGTTTCATTAAACAACAAGATTAAAAGGAAATATAATACAAGAAAAAAACCAATGTTCAGCTTTGATGTAACAACATTCATAATTAATTAAAGATAGCACCCTTTTCCCCCCGGTTACATTTTCCATTCTCCCTGTACGATGGGCGCTGTAAGTGATGAAAGTGGGGGATGTTGGCTTATCAGGCGCCCGCAGCTCACAGGCAAAGAGAGAGAGAGAGAGAGGGCGCACCGGTACCGGCGGGGATTGTTGTTAGCTTCTGCTGCGCTAACGGATATAAGAAGCTGTTTCTACAATGATGTGGAGGGAGAGCTCTCCTGTCAGACTGAGGCTCAGTGAGGTGAAGGACTCTCAGTGTCAGATAGTTCACTTTAGTCTAAGTTATCTCAGTGGGTCTCAAACGGTTTGGTCACAATTTATGTAAACACATATTTCCAAGGCACTCCTTTATAATTATTGGGATAAATAAAAACAGGTTTGAAATCATTCCAGTGTATACTATAGGACAGTAAACCAGACATATCATTTAAAACTGGAGAGATTAACAAATATGCATGAATAAATGTTAACTGGTAAAATAAGATATCAATGAACCACAAAAATAAAATAAGTTCCATGTATTTGTTATTGGCTATGGTAGGTTATTGGTTATGTTCACATACTTATTTGATTATTAAAATGCAAACCGATCTTTTTCATATGGGTGTTTAGAGTTGTACCCCCTAGATCAGGTCTCTAGTGATTGGGCTCAAAGTGCAACAGATTGAAGCATTTTACTTTAAAATGTTTTTTTAAATCTTCCCGTCGGGGGGGCATAACACCGGACCCCCCTAGAGGATGTGACGTCCACCCCCCAATTAAAACATGTTCATACAATACTGAATACATTTGAAGCCTTTTATATAAGCTGTCCACCATGTCAATACGTTTCTCTGTTTGTAGTGTGTTGGTCTTTTGTAGAGGTTTTTCATTGCCAGCTGAAATCTTGCCTAGGGCAGCAAACTGGTCAGAACCGGCCCTGGTGTCATCCCCACAGCACCCCCATTTCAAACATGTTCCCACGGCTATGTCAGATACCAACATACTGAATCCTCTTCAGGTCAGGTTACAGTAGAGACTCTTACTTTGTGTCTGAGGGTCCAGGTTCATTACTGAAGTATTCTGGGGGCTGCTCCATAGACCAGTCACTCTTCAGAGACAGACAGCTGGGGACTGGAGACCCTGCTCTCTGTCTGTGGAAACAACAAGTTTTAAACATCATTAGTTCACAGGGGCGGATCTAGACAAATATTCATGGGGTGGCCAGAGGGTGGCAGGAGATTTTGAGGGGTGGCATCCCCTGGCAGAAGTATATGCTGATTTAATCGCAGTCATATCGATCAATGTTAACTTGGAAATCCACAATATTAATATTTTAACTCAATAACATTAGGTGACATTATTGTGGCACATCAGTAAAGCCTTACATATAAATATATAAGGTGGCAGACATCATTTAATGAATTTTAACTGAATGAGTTTGTTTCACTCTTAGACCAGCAGGGGTACCAAATCTATGCAGACTGCTGCAATAAGTACATTAATTAACTGTCCCATCGATGTTTGTCTGAATGAATATGATGATATTAACAATCATATTATTCCTATCAGCTGTCAATCACTGTTATGATTCACATATTCATTTATTATTGAATAAACTATATTTTTTGGAGGAGTTAATGATGAATGTTCCTCAAGATGCTTGCTCACCCTCCTTCAAATTTGAAGTATTGACTATCATATATCAAAATTCAAAAGAATCAGCAGTTTCAGCGCCCCACGACTTTACTGCAAACAGTTACAAACCTTGACTTTCCATCAGAAAGAACAAACATTAAAGGACACCTATCATGCTATATTTAAATGATATATTGTAGGGCCATACCTATATAAGGCATATTTATACGTTTCTGTTTTCAAAATACCAAACAGATCATGCATTTTAGCCATGCCTCATTTCGCTCTATGTGCTGTTTGCTGTCTACGGGTCTGATTCTGCTGACCACGCCCCCCTGCAGGAGAGGGGAGACGTGCTCTGATCAGCTGCTGGGCTGTCAGAAGAGGGGGAGGAAAAGAGATCTCCGTCCTCCGTGTTTTATTATATAGAGTCATTATTCATTTGTTTTAAAGCTCAATAAATAACAAAGAAGACCTTTGACCGGCACTTTTCTAATTTTGTCCGGAAGATTTAAACTTTAACGGACATCTTGACCGGCGAAAGAAAACCTAACTGAAACATATTCATGTATAAAAGACGTACAAAAGTGCATTTTGCATGATAGGTCCCCTTTAAAGAAGTGACTAACTGCATCAGTTAGGGTTAGAAAACGTGTATTCAGCTCAAACATATACATCGCTGCAGTTATTATCCAGTGGAAAGCCCTTACCTACTGGCCTAGTTAAATCAAAGTGGTTACTTTTGTTTGGCTGGGCAGTGTAGTTTTACAACACCGTCTTATTTGACTTTCTCAGGACTTAAAACTCTTTTTGGGGGCAGACCCCCACAAAGAAAAAAAGATATACACACATACAAGATCATCATCTTAACAGTTGTTTATGCTCATCCGTGAGCAGAGCATCAAGTTGCCTATTACAGCTGAATGCGGCGATTACCATGTTGTTCAGCAGAACGCCTCTCAAACGTATTAAGATCCAAAGCTTTAGTGCGTTTTGATTCAATGCTGAGTACAGCCACACTGACAGTCTCTTCTCTGTCATTGTAGACCGCACCTCATTCCTTCCGTCTGCTTGGGTCCGAATCAAGCGGCAAACTCTGGGGAAGAGCCGGGACGCCAATACGGAAGAGCCACAAATTGCAGTTCATATATTGGCCGATAGGCGATGACTGCAGAAAGGAGCCATTTCCATAGACCCCCATGTTAAAATGCCCAATTTTACAGCAGAAAAAAACATGTTTCTACCCCTGGATGCAATAAATATTATTATGGATATAGTTAGATTCCACCTTCATGATTATGAATCTGTGAGTGAATTGTTTTCCAACGCGACCCTTTTATTTATATTAGGTCTTAAAGTGTTTGCATAAATTAGGGCGTGGTCACTTTGATGGACACTAGTGATGGGAATTCCGGCTCTTCTTGGTGAGCCGGATCATTTGGCTCGGCTCACCAAGAAGAGCCGGCTCTTTCGGCTCCCAAACGGCTCTTCAGTTTACCACATATTATACCTTTTATAATTCAATCAAATGTAGCCCTGTTTTGACTAATGATTTATATGTGTACACATATCACTTAAATTATTCAATACATCCTTTGTACTGAAGTATTCAAAAGTAAAAATTACATGTTTAATATCAATTATTTGCTGTGGCCAGTTTTCATTGCATTTACAGACCCTTGTATCTCTCTGATACCACCCAATGAATGCACAGACTTGCTTGTAGAACCACGCTACACAAAGCAGATAGCAACACCTATAAAAACGTAAGCATAGACATAGACAAAAAGGGGCTACTGTATCGACATTTTAAAATTATATTTAAAGAAAAGGCCCTGACAAAACAGCAGGGCTCTATTTCAGTATTAACTATAGAAAAAAAGACAGCAACAGCTGACATCAAATCTTTGCTGAGCCCAGGATAATCATAAATAAATAACATAGTGAAAATAAATATATTGCAATGCTCAGTACAGCAGCATCCAACCGTCTCTAATCATAAAAAAACATAATACAAATAAATGTATTGCAATGCTCAAAACAGCAGCATCCAACAGTCTCTAATCCTTCGATATTACATGTCACTGCATGCATGCACGGAGCAGCTGTAGCGCGGAGATCATCATATCATTCTGTCTTGTATTACTTAACAAAAAATAACAAAAACAAAAAAAACGGCTCGTTCGCGGGCGCGAGCCGGCTCCCGTCGTTCACTTAAAAGAGCCGGCTCGTTCGCGACCGACACATCACTAATGGACAGGTACGTGCCTCACTGTCAGCTAACAGCAACTTGTCCACTCTGCTAGGCTACAACGTTAGTTAGTTAGTTGTAGTTACTGTACTTGACCCTTTAGCCGTGTTCGTGGTGAAATACCAGACAATTAAAATGTCGTGCTGTGCGGTTGAATGTACTAACAGAACTTCCAAGAAGTCTAAAATGATAATATTATACATGTTAACCCCGTTAGCAGGTGTTTGTGTGCTTGTTAGCTTAGCTTGTTATGTAGCTTATTAGCCAGCTAAGGACGTAACCCTTTATACATGTACACAACAGTATACAGTTTAGTTTATGATTCAGCCTTGGGTAAGACTTTTATAGTATATGGCTATGACGCCCATAATGCTAAACGGGAGCAAATGTTAAAAGGAGACCCAATTATCCCAGTGGTGGCCGCCGGAGCTAACGGAGCCGCAGGGGGCTAGCTCCAGCCGGCGTCCAGCTCCAGCCGGCCTCCCGGAGCCCCCTGCGGCTCCGTTAGCTCCGGGCGGTGGAGTCCGGCGTTATAACTGGAGATCAAGGAATGCACCGAAACGCGGACTTGGTTCGCCTGCAGCCCGCTGTAGTATTAGCTAAATAAATTATGTTGAACAAGGCTTATTAAGCTGAACATCGCCACAATTGTTCTGCTATGTATCGGTACTTATTTTATTTTATTAATGTGATGACAAGCATTATGAATAACAAAAAATAGCTAATTCTCTTGCAGATTGTCTCGTTTGATTATGAATGTAACGTTTATATAGGGGAACTACACTGTTTTATCAAAACCAAAGTGCCACGCAGTAACTTGGTATGCATGTATTTCATGTTAGCTTAGCTTCTTAGCCTGAGCTAGCTCTGTTTACTTCCAGTTCGGAGGCAGAAGGTCCCGCCTCGGCTCCGCCTCTTTGCCCTTATTTGGAGCAGACGGGAGCCGGCGGGAGTTAGACTCTGACGTCACTGTCGAGTCGTTAGTGGCCGACTCCGCCTACTAAGGGCTTCTCGGCAACTCTGCAGAATCCTATGGGTGACGTCACGGACCCTACGTCCATTTATATATACAGTCTATGGTCCGAATGCTTCTCGTTTTGCGCCGTCCCGTTCAAATGAAATCACCGACAATCATATTTCCATGCTCGCGCCAGGGCCGGGGAGGGGTTACAAGGCTCGCGTCTTGTGCTGCATTCACTTGCACTCGGACATTAGAGACTTTCTCTCATAAATGTCCGATGAGCCAAAACTTTTCTTTCAAAACAAAGCGGGGGAGTTTATTCTAAACTGTTGAGTAAAACGTTTTACACGAACTATGGAGAAATGTCACCAACATTTATAATCAATATTTAAAAAAATATTATTAATAAATGAATTGCCTACATTTAGGGTGGCAAGGCATTTTTCTGAGGTGGCAGCTGCCACCCGCCGTGCCACCCCGTAGAACCGCCACTGTTAGTTCATCTAAAGAGCAGCTTTTGACCTATGACTGTTCACCTGATCACCGGTACCGGCGGGGATTGTTGTTAGCTTCTGCTGCGCTAACGGATATAAGAAGCTGTTTCTACAATGATGTGGAGGGAGAGCTCTCCTGTCAGACTGAGGCTCAGTGAGGTGAAGGACTCTCAGTGTCAGATAGTTCACTTTAGTCTAAGTTATCTCAGTGGCTCTCAAACGGTTTGATCACAATTTATGTAAACACATATTTCCAAGGCACTCCTTTATAATTATTGGGATAAATAAAAACAGGTTTGAAATCATTCCAGTGTATACTATAGGACAGTAAACCAGAAATATCATTTAAAACTGGAGAGATTAACAAATATGCATAAATAAATGTTAACTGGTAAAATAAGATATAAATGAACCACAACAATAAAATAAGTTCCATGTATTTGTTATTGGCTATGGTAGGTTATTGGTTATGTTCACACACTTATTTGATTATTAAAATGCAAACCAATCTTTTTCATATGGGTGTTTAGAGTTGTACCCCCTAGATCAGGTCTCTGTAATTGTGTGCTCAAAGTGCAACAGATTGAAACATTTTACATACTCCCGGACCCCCCTAGAGGATGTGACGTCCACCCCCAATTAAAACATGTTCATACAATAATGAATACATTTGAAAGCCTTTTTATATAAGCTGTCCACCATGTCAATAGGTTTCTCTGTTTGTAGTGTGTTGGTCTTTGTAGAGGTTTTTCATTGCCAGCTGAAATCTTGCCTAGGGCAGCAAACTGGTCAGAACCGGCCCTGGTGTCATCCCCACAGCACCCCCATTTCAAACATGTTCCCACGGCTATGTCAGATACCAACATACTGAATCCTCTTCAGGTCAGGTTACAGGAGAGACTCTTACTTTGTGTCTGAGGGTCCAGGTTCATTACTGAAGGATATAGGTTGCCCCATAGACCAGTCACTCTTCAGAGACAGACAGCTGGGGACTGGAGACCCTGCTCTCTGTCTGTGGAAACAACATGTTTTAAACATCATTAGTTCATAGTTTTAATGTTCTCTACTGGGTTTCATTAAACAGTTTATATGATCAGATACCAACATACTGAATCCTCTTCAGGTCAGGTTACAGGAGAGACTCTTACTTTGTGTCTGAGGGTCCAGGTTCATTACTGAAGTCTGGAGGATTCCCCATAGACCAGTCACTCTTCAGAGATAGACAGCTGGGGACTGGAGTATTGTCCCCTTCCTCATCTTTTAAATCACTCATCTTCTCCAGTACACACACACACACACACACACACACACACACACACACACACACACCACACACACACACACACACACACACACACACACACACACACACACACACACACCACACACACACACACACACACACACACACACACACACACACACACACACACACACATGCACACACACACACACACACACACACACACACACACACCACACACACACACACACACACACACACACAACCACATACCTTAATAATAAACTTTGTTCAAATACATGAAATCAGTCATACTTCATTGCCTCTCTCCATTTTTTCTGCGCTGGGCTTGTCACATGTTATGTAACTCTGATGACTCAGGAAACAGGAAATAATCAAAGTTTACAACACTTGCAGAAGTCTCAATGGACTCTAGGACGCTGATTGTTAACCAAGAAGTTATTTTCTGACATCCAGTAAAACATAGTGAATAATGAATGTGTTAGAAAGCAGATCCTGGTGTTAACACTCACCCTGTTCTCCTCCTCGTGCCGAGCTGTAAAATGGCGTCTGGCAGTCTGACAGTCTGACTTCATACTTTCACTTCCTACTTTTCCAACATTTCGTCCCACCAGCTCAGCCCTATTTGTTTTTCTTTCCTCTTCTGCCTCACTGCTTATGAATTCTGAAGAAACCCTCGTGGTTGAATTCTCCTTCGTGAGAGAAACAAAGGTCGCTTTAAGTACAAGAGGAATTCCTCAAGTTGTACTTTAAGGCGAAATCATCAATTCACTTTCAAGTGTTCAGTGCTCATTGAAAAGGAAGTACTTTCAGGGACGATGAAGACGTTAACTTGGTTGTTTGGGAACAAAACCACTGTTCCTATGATAACACATATATGAAGGATTGTTTCTGGGTGTCTATAACCCCCAGACACCGTTACCGTTATAACATCAATGCAGCTTGGAAGCAGGAAGCCCATTAGTAGATGTTAACGTGTGGATGAAGCTTGTAATTCACTGTAATATCTAAATGTCACACCAACATCCATTAAAAGGGCGTGATGCGATTAAAAAAGTATGTTATTGAATAAATCCTGAGAAAAAGGTAAGAAATGTGTCTTTAACAGAACAAGGGAGTTCCAGATACTGCATTAGTGTTCATGAACTCTCCTCCACAGAGACTGCATCTGTATGTCAGTTCCCATGATGTGTGTGCACCGTGTCATCGTGACTTCCTGTATGCTAAGGAGCTATACTGGGGGTGTGTTTTATGGACGTTAGGCGGCTGCTGGGGAAATGCTAATGAAGCTGCAGAATATATAGGAAGACAAGCTTTATGTGACGCTTATATGACAGAGACAATGTCCTGAGAGTGTAACACATCGAGGACATTGAGTTTGTGAATGAATTAGCCGTTATCTCAGTCAAGGGAAGGACAGCATTAATGGGAATGAATGAGAGTTTCCAGATGCAGAATGTATGAGATATGACCCAGTGAGTGGATGAGAGGCTTCAATCTCACGTTTAGATTTCTTGTTTTTCTTTGGCTCAAATATCACAAGAACAAAAAGAGGTGTTCTCTGTCTTCTTGCAGATTGCCAGAGGCGTCAATCTGCAGTCTGCTGAACATGTGGTGTTCATTTCACCAATTCTTCAGTTCAACAAATCAGATTGGTCTCAATTCAGTTTGAACAGACTGGCCTTCGTGAAGAGAGGGAGAGACGCCCAGAACACGTGTTAATAAGCCGTCCATTTAAACCGTCTAACCGTAAGAACAACAAGCGATATGTGCAGGACATATTTCAAATAGACGGCATGGAGAGAAGTCAGTTAAACAACTATTTAAAGCTAACATTCATCTGGAGATTTGGTCGTTTACTTTCCTTTTTAATTTGTAAAACAACAACAATAGATACTGAAGTAAACCTTAGAGACCATGCCATGATGAAAGTCTACAGAAGACCCTCTCACATCTCATACGGTGCTTTAATATGATGATTGAAGTGGTGCTTATTAAACTGCTTCATATCAGACACAGAAGTAATGAGATCTCTGCAGGTCACCTGAAAGCATAGCAGTCATAAATCAACTAAAAGCATGTTTATTTGTGTTGTTTGTATTAATAGCAGCTGTTTACCTGCGTGTGCTCTTTATCAAAGAAGTCCTTTAGTCTCTAATAAAGAAAAAGTCATTGCGTTCACAAACAAAACATCAATTATAGCTGAGAGGGAAATGTTAAGCTTGAGTGAGCAGCGAAGAATTAGACTTCCAGGCGTGAAATAAATCAAATGACTGACGTAGAATTCATCGTCACAATCAGACCCAAAGAAAACACTTCTAAGGTCATTTTATATATATTTAAATAACACAATAATAACTGGAGATGTTCTTTGTGGTATAGTGTACTTTGTGTTGCTAGGCAGAGAAGCCAGCTTTAATGATCCTCTGGCGCCATCTAGTGGTTCATCTCATTATTGCAGGACACTAAATTAGGACTCACCTAAAGTGCAAATATCAAACCCCTTTGTCCAGTGGAGGGTCAGGGTGAGTATATATACTAAAGTACACATTATTTGAGAGTCTATTTGAGAGCGTTAGTTATAAGTGAGGAAACAGAGAGACTTTTCTGCATGTTATGAAATGTAATTTGGGAAACACTTTATATTAAAGTGCACGTTCAGCATCAACGAGTTGTTCATTAACATGTTAGCAGTTTCTAGGCTCTTTATTAGTCACTATAAAACTCTTAGTAATGCCTTATTCTACAAGTACTAGGCCATTAGTTAAGAGTCCTCGTCTCCTCTCTCGTGTCCTCGTCTCCTCTCTCGTGTCCTCGTCTCTCCTCTCTCATGTCCTCGTCTCCTCTCTCGTGTCCTCGTCTCTCCTCTCTCGTGTCCTCGTCTCCTCTCTCGTGTCCTCGTCTCTCCTCTCTCGTGTCCTCGTCTCCTCTCTCGTGTCCTCGTCTCTCCTCTCTCGTGTCCTCGTCTCCTCTCTCGTGTCCTCGTCTCCTCTCTCGAGTCCTCGTCTCCTCTCTCGTGTCCTCGTCTCTCCTCTCTTGTGTCCTCGTCTCTCCTCTCTTGTGTCCTTGTCTCCTCTCTTGTGTCCTCGTCTCTCCTCTCTCGTGTCCTCGTCTCCTCTCTCGTGTCCTCGTCTCTCCTCTCTCGTGTCCTCGTCTCTCCTCTCTCGTGTCCTCGTCTCTCCTCTCTCGTGTCCTCGTCTCTCCTCTCTCGTGTCCTCGTCTCTCCTCTCTCGTGTCCTCGTCTCCTCTCTCGAGTCCTCGTCTCCTCTCTCGTGTCCTCGTCTCTCCTCTCTTGTGTCCTCGTCTCTCCTCTCTTGTGTCCTTGTCTCCTCTCTTATGTCCTCGTCTCTCCTCTCTCGTGTCCTCGTCTCCTCTCTCGTGTCCTCGTCTCTCCTCTCTCGTGTCCTCGTCTCTCCTCTCTCATGTCCTCGTCTCTCCTCTCTTGTGTCCTTGTCTCTCCTCTCTCGTGTCCTCGTCTCTCCTCTCTCGTGTCCTCGTCTCCTCTCTTGTGTCCTCGTCTCTCCTCTCTTATGTCCTCGTCTCTCCTCTCTCGTGTCCTCGTCTCCTCTCTTATGTCCTCATCTCTCCTCTCTCGTGTCCTTGTCTCCTCTCTTATGTCCTCGTCTCTCCTCTCTCGTGTCCTCGTCTCTGCTCTCTCGTGTCCTCGTCTCCTCTCTTGTGTCCTCGTCTCTCCTCTCTTGTGTCTTCATCTCCTCTCTTGTGTCCTCATCTCTGCTCTCTCGTGTCCTCGTCTCCTCTCTCGTGTCCTCGTCTCTGCTCTCTCGTGTCCTCGTCTCTCCTCTCTCGTGTCCTCGTCTCCTCTCTCGTGTCCTCGTCTCTCCTCTCTCGTGTCCTCGTCTCCTCTCTCGTGTCCTCGTCTCTCCTCTCTTGTGTCCTCATCTCCTCTCTTGTGTCCTCGTCTCTGCTCTCTCGTGTCCTCGTCTCCTCTCTCGTGTCCTCGTCTCTGCTCTCTCGTGTCCTCGTCTCTCCTCTCTTGTGTCCTCGTCTCTCCTCTCTCGTGTCCTCATCTCCTCTCTTGTGTCCTCGTCTCTCCTCTCTCGTGTCCTCGTCTCCTCTCTTGTGTCCTCGTCTCTCCTCTCTCGTGTCCTCGTCTCCTCTCTCGTTCTTTAGTGGGAATGCTGTGTCAGCATTCCCACTAAAGTAACATTTCTCCTGTGCTTTAATGTTCAAACAGATGTTATTTGAGGGTCTCTCAGCTGGCAGGTTTCAGTGGGCAGGAAGAAAGGACTGATCAGGTCTGCAGAGGTTCTGGTTCCAGGTGAAAGGGACAGGAAGTGAGCTGAAAGAGAGGGAGACGTGGATTTGAAAACTATGGAGTGGTCTTAACAAAACTCTCTCAAGTGATGACTGTCATCAAACATTCAAATCAAGAGTCAGAAAAAATGTGTTAGCAGACTACTCCAACGAACCAAACAATGGGTACACCTAGCTGCTGTAAGGATAATAATAATAAATACTATAACAAGTACAAAGACTATTATCATAATTATCTTAATTATCAGTTTACATCAAAATAGGATGAGAAATGAAACCGTCTTGTTTTCTGAACGTGGACTTGTAGGAATTTATTTATTATTTGTTTGACTTTATCATTTTATTGTCACCCTGGAAATGGGTGTATGTACGTATATGTGTACATATGTATGTGTATGTATATATAGAATGTTGTTTATCTGTGTGCGTATTTAATTACAGAATGATCTTTTCTTTTCTTTATCCTGCTGGATGACTAACGGAGGGATACCTCTGGATACACTCTGCTTTCTGCCTCCTGCTTCTACTCATCATGTTTGTTTCTTGGATGTATAAACTGTCTAATTGTTGAAACAGTAGAATAAATAATAAAACATACAATTAAAAAAAGATCTGCAGAAGTATAAGGTACATGTGTTGAGTTTAAAATAGATGTCTAGTGTCCCTAATGTCCCACCTGATGTGTTTGAGTGGTCGTGTTTGAGTCCAGGAGCCTCGGTAGTTCTGATCCATCTGGACTCTGAGCTCTGCATCAAGTCACAGAATCCATCTTCAAAACCACACCTCTTATATCCAGAGCCTACAACCAGAAAGAAGACATGCTTCAGCCTCTTTGAGTTTAGCTTTTCAAACTGCAGGGTTTCTCGTCTACGGCCTCTTTATGCTATCTCTCTACCTCTGAATGAGTCAAAGTGTTACATTTCCATGCAATATCTGATCAAATTGACATTCCAGTCCGCTGCAAAACACCTGCCTATACAATAACTAACCTAATGACATGCTCCAGATTACAGATTCTGTAAATAAAGCATCATATCAGGCAGGGATTTGAGCCTTTACAGACCATTTACATGCACTAAAACACACTACAGGAGAGAGAACACCCCAACAAACATAATACGGCCGCTTTAAGATGTGGTTTCTGCACACAATAAAGTAACATCATCTCATCAGAGCATTATAAGCGTTAATCCTGGACTTCACGGCCAAACATGAAACAGAAGACTGAAAAGAATTAGGGATGAAACTGAATGTGAGTTGGTATGCAAGGCAGGATTATCAATGATGCACCACAGAAGAAGAACCAGGATCTTATACTGAAGTTAAAGTAATAATACAGATAGGTTTACCTCAACAAATCTACTTCAATAAATGTATTTAGTTCATTTCCACCACTGCAAAGAATGAAATGTATATTCATTCATATTTTAAGATATATCACGCATTGAATATCCTCACAGACGCATGTTGTAATGAATGCATTTCAGTATACACACAGTACATAAGTATAACATGTACTTTAGGTATCAAAAGTAAAAGTACTAATACTATTATCATGTTTTATTTACATGTAAGAGCCTTTTAGCATTGTGGTTTGACTACATTTAGATACTTGAAATACTGTTTTTAATAGTATTTCAGTACTCTGTTACACCATATCAGCAAATCATGTGTTTTTATATGAACAAAAGGTGCTTTTTGCCTCTGAAATATAGTAGAACGACACTGGTTTTTGCTATATATACGTTGATAATGCAATTTATAACTACATCTTGACTTGTGTATCACATTGTTCACTCTGAATATATATGGATTTGTGAAGTTATAGGTGTACGAGGTACTTTAAGACACCTGTTGAAAGGTAATCCAGTCTCAAAGTCAGAGAAAATCTGACAAAATCAATATTTACTCACAGTTTTCCTCATCGCTGTAATCTCCACAGTCGTCAGTGAAGTCACACACACTTCCCTCGGACACACACAGATCCTGAGAGCAGCTGAACTCCTGAGCTGAACACACTGCGTCACACACTGGGGTCAAAAACACCAGAGAAAAGGCAGAAAACAGCCACAGAAGCATCATCTTACTGTCTGTCCTTTAACTCCAGCACATGATCTCCTCCTCTGAGTGAAGCATGTTGTTTTGAAGATAGAAGAAGCAGCTTCAGTCGAGGTACAGCTCGTCTGTAACGTGTGCAAGTAGCTTAGGAGCTGTTAGCATGTTGTAAAAGGTAATCAATGGCTTTTATGGCTGTTACTCAATAAGGTCACTGTGTGTTCATGTGTTCATTCTCTGAGAGGCTGGACTGAGGCTATTAGCTTTATGCTAACATGCTCACAATGCTATCATGCTCCTGTTTAGCTCCTATAATGTGTTTAACATACGAGTTCAGCATGCTAACATAGCTAATTCTTGCACTATTTATATTCTATTTTATTTGTATTTACATTTTTGCTCATCTCAAAACATTCTCTTGCACTATTTTATCTGTTTTATTTGTTCCATGTCCTATATATATTCATGTTGCTCTGTTGGAGAAGATCTTCATTGACATATCTACTCTGTAGCTGCTGTGCAAATGACAATAAAGCTTTGAAACTTGAATGTTGAATCTTGAAAATGTGTTTAACATACGAGTTCAGCATGCTAACACAGCTAATTAGCACTAGCATGTCCTTAATGAAGGGGCTAGAGGAGATGACTAATGAATCAAATGCAATGCAATCCATCCAATAGGTGTTGAGTTATTTATATGTGGTTCTTAGTAGTAGACAGACTATTAGCATGGCTACAAACCAGGTTTATACTCTGATAGATTCCTGTGTATTTTCATAATAACCACTTCTAGGAACACCTACATCAATTGGAGAACTCTGAGCATCTGTAAATGTGAAGAGGCTGCAGTTAGCCTGTGTGTGTGTGTGTGTGTGTGTGTGTGTGTGTGTGTGTGTGTGTGTGTGTGTGTGTGTGTAATTAACGCTGTGTCTCAATCCCACTCCACTGAGAGGCATCATTTCATTTCACAGCAATCAATAAACACAAGGACCTTAAAAACAGAGAAGCTACAAGAGCTGGGGAGGTTCCAATTAAATGACTTTCGAAGGGGCGAGAGAGCGAGGGAACAAGGAGAAGAACACGTCTGTATCGCCCTCTGTTGGCAGCGGCAGTGGGAGGAAAGTAGAAAGTGTTTAAAGCAGAATGTGTCCTGTTTTTATTACAGAGCAAGGATGCACATGGAGGCACTGACAGACTCATTATTCCAATTAACATGTGAGAGGAATTCATACTGTAATAGCAAGCGTCTCATTACCAATAAGCCAATGTGGAAGTTATTAGCTCACAATGCTAACATGCTAAAGCTACTGTCCCACAACTCTCAGGTTGAGGGGCCCTCCTTTCCCAACTTCAGCAAGGAACACCCCCATGACTATTGTTGGAGTCGGGAGGCCTGTTCATTTATTCCGGCAATTACTCAGACCTACTAATTGACCTAACAGAAGCTATTGATTCTAAGTTTACTGCTCGGCTCAGATCCATCGAGGTCAGCAAGGTCTCACCTATTAACTCCTGAAGAACCAGGTTCAATTAACTGCTGTTTCAATACCGACGACACGCTAAATCTGTTTAAGCGATCCCGAAGGATTTTGGTATCAGTAATGAGGTGTGGCCTTACCTAAGTGTGAGTGTGGCAGTGGTGCAATCTTACCTTTAAGCAGGAGAGGAGAGCGCAGATTTATTTTAAGTTCTCCCAATCCAAAAAGGTGGGATGATTTTATTTGAAGAAAATGGTCCACACTTAAACAGGTTTTTACCTTCTCTCGTTACAATATGACAATCATACAAAACATATCATGCTGTGCTACTTTTCTAATATAAAAGCTCAATTCAGTTTTACATTTCTTACACTAAATTCTAACTTCAACTGCCCTCTTCAGTTGAAACATTAAAAGTCTAACCCGACAGAATCCAGAGGAATCTCCTCATAAATGGTCAGTGGTATCTAACACATTCAAGCTTTCATTCAACAATTCACCAAATCAATCTGAGAGATCTTACCAAGTTGAGAGAACCTACCAAGGAGAGACCCCGCTCTGGAGCTTTCTCCCTCTCAGCCAGTGCTTTTATGCTGCACATAGGAACACAAAGAAAACCCAAAGACACCTCCTTTATACCCTGTGGGGAAAGGTCATGACCTCTGGTGTGCAGGACTGGACATCCAGACATATTCTCCTATGGTATGGCCTGAACACATTTTGGGGCTCCAGTACTTTTCCATTGAGTCGGGGGTACAGCCTGTGAGTGAAGACAACTGTCCCCCCTCTTTAAACAGTGACACCCATAAACTACAATAGGCCTTAAACTCAATTTAACAAACTACTTGTGTTTGTATATACTGGGATTATAGAACAACATGAAATATAATATTTTCATTGTGGGTTATACAAGATTATATTTGATTATATTAACTTTCGTTTTAATTATTCAACTTAATATGGAGACATCAACACTATGCAATGCTGAAGATGGCTCTAACTAACCTCCTACCCGCTTGGGAAACCAAACTCTACAAGTGCCACATGTTGGACCATCTTAAGGTCCCCTCTGCCAGACACATTGCATTAGCCTATGCACACGACCCACAACCCTTTACTAAGTCTTTAGCTGCTTTGCACCTCCTTTGTCCTCCCCTTTCAGAAAGAGCAAGGCATCACCAGATCCAAGCGCCCCTCCAGTCCAGTGGACCCCCTTCCAGCAGCTCATTGACCGGGTCCTGCGTCCCACTCTCAGTATGCAGATATCCGGATGACTACATCGTTCAAAGTGAGATGTTGGGGCAGGTAAAGGCGGGGCTCCAAGCTAACCTGAAGAAGAGTGAGTTGGGGTATCTGGGGTCGATGGGGTCTCCTCTTTGGTGCCGGGATGGGTGGGAGGTGGTGGTAGGTAGCAGTAGGTGTATGTGCAACACATCTTTAAGAAAAGCTTTAAGTACAATGGATTGTTTTTGTTCAATATTGAGGAGAGCTAACAGGAAGTCTCTCATCAGCTGCAGTCTTCTTCTGTATTCTCCAAAATGCCTCCACGCTCCTCTGGACGTCTCAAACTCGCCCCGTGATGAATAAACTGAGAACAAATAAAACCTGAGCTTACAGATTTGTCTGGAACACCAGAAACACACTGAGCAATAACTACATTTTAATTAAGTGTTGAAACCTCAATAAATAAAGTTCACTTGGTACGACCTCTCACCTTTCTGTGTGTCTTCACTTCCTGTCACCTGAGAGGAGAAGGAGAGAGAGAGAGAATGATGATGATGATAAAACATGGAGAAACATCCAGAATGATGAAGAGAGAAAGAAGAGTGTTGTTTTCCTCTGAGGTCATGCTCCATTCAAGAGTTTAGTATCTTGATGAATGGAGGATATGGTTTCAGTACTCACAGGTCTTCTGGATCGTGATCGGCTTATCCCATCTTCCGATCCTGTAGAGATGAACACAATCCAACAGCTTTAGATCCAGTTTAAATAAGTGTTAGTTCTTTGAGTCAGCTTCAGAGTCCTGATCTCATGCTTTACATCCCATCATATCTTCTCTGCAAACACTACGACTGCCTGCCACAGCTCTCAGCTGCATGACAGGAAGTAACCAGTCATTGGTCTAGAACAGGGGGGTCCAAACTCTTTTCCCCGAGGGCCACATACAGAAAGATATATAAAGGTCTGGGCCGCTCTCTAGAGGTATGTTGCCTCATGAGTTCAGTTATAAGTCAGAAACCTCAGATGAAGGGAAAGGATGCTTGTTACTTGAAGATGCTTTCAGAAACAACAGCTCCCAGCTCTCCAGAGGGTTCACTTTATTCTGTCAGCAGCTCATTCCTTAAAGCAGGATCTTCAGATTGATTATAATCACAGGAAATATGAAGGGTCTATTTCACGCTTGTTATACAAATAAGTTATTGGGCTTTTTTCTTATCAAGTTAGATTTGTTAGAACATGTTTTCAGCTTTAATGACTGAATTTATTTAAAAAGTGGGATTATGAACACATGAATACTACTGAGTAATATATGTGTACATATATATTTAAGAAGTACAATATAAGACAAGCACAAGTTTCATTAGTGGGTCATATTTCATTATACTTTCAGAATTTGCTGAGGGCGGATTCAGAGGGCCGCATTTGGCCCCCGGGCCGCAGTTTGGACACCCCTGGTCTAGAAACTAAAAACATCCCATAAGAACAGACCACCTTTCCCACTCTTCTGTAAAACCCCGTCTGTTAGAGAGTTGATTACTAAAGTGTGGCTTTGCATGTTCAGCTGGCCTTCTATAGTTGATGGAAGAATGAGAGAGCCTGCAGTCAGTGGGTAACATCACTGATCTGTTTCCCCAGAGAGAGAAACACCTCCCTGTGGTTCATACAATACTGCTGAACCAGCAGAGACCCCTTACTGACCTGAGGGTCTCCAGTCTGCAGTCTGGACTCTCCAGAAGATCTCTCAGCAGCTTCTCATCTGAATCCTTCAGATCGTTGTCACTCAGGTTCAGATCTCTCAGATGGATGTTGGACTTCAGAGCTGAGATCAGAGCAGAACAGCTGATCTCTGACAACCTGCAGCTCCACAGACTGAATAAAGAAAACATGATGAGGATACAAATCAGTTTATAATCAGATGTTACTCAACATTTAAATGAATGGGAACAAAAACATGTCTTCTTCAGAAAGTAAACTTTATTAATGTAAAACTAATATTACTTCAGATGAACTTTATTCAGACGTTATTGTTTACTAAATATTAAAAACATAGATTTACTTTTTACAACTAACATCTATTCCAGTTCCTTCAAGAATCAGACAACATCTAAGTCTGCAGTTCTTACTTTAGTAGCTACAAATGAAAATATGAATAAAACAACATTTACAACTGAATGGATGCAAGTTAATGATGTAGAAGAATCAGGATGAATATCTAATGAAACATGAGATCTCCAGCAGTAACAGAGAGTCAGTGAACTGACCTGAGAGTCTCCAGTCTGCAGTCTGGACCCTCCAGAAGATCTCTCAGCAGCTCCACTGCTGAATCCTTCAGAGCGCTGTAACCCAGGTTCAGATCTCTCAGATGGATGTTGCACTTCAGAGCTGAGATCAGAGCAGAACAGCTGATCTCTGACAACCTGCAGCCCCACAGTCTGAATAAAGAAAACATGATGTAAGTTTAGAAAACAATGTTCCTGTTTGAAATAACTCCAGGTTTAATAATCTGTTCAGAGTTAAACAGGGTTTCAAAGGTCTCCTATCTGCTATCTTTAGGCATATATTCTGGGTCTCAGATATATAACAATATATAAAAACATCTCTATGATGTGTTTTGCTCCAAATACCAAACAGATCCTGCATTTTAGAAATCCCTCATATCCCTCTGTTCCAGCTGTTAGAGAAGAGCAGGTTCGGGTCCTTAGCTTAAAAAGAGAGGAGGGGGAGCTAATGCCTGATCAGAATTACCCGGCAGATACAGTTAAATGCTGCCGTGATTAAACGCCATCCTGTTCCAAACTGCATCAAGGATTCTCTCTGAAACAGTATGGAGCTCAAACTCTTTCTCTCTCTCAGGTTTACCACAAGGTGAGTTCCTTTTGATTTCCTGCTTCTTCACACATACTCTCTCCAGTACAGGTTAGCTCTGAGTGTTAGCATGCTAATGTAAACACAGACCATATTACTTCCAGAACACGTCTCATTGTTTCTGACAGCAACGTTTCTGATTGGCCCGTGGGTGTAAAGCCCGCCCACATTTTAGTAATGTCGTCATGACGCAGCAAATCTGGATCAGCTCCGTTGTTCCCCCCGTTTTTAGAGATGTGGGTACGGAGGAAAAGAGAGAGGGGTTTATTTCCTGACACTTTGTGAGTCTCCTGACACACCGGGGACACACCGGGGACACACCGGGGACACACCGAGGACACACCGGGAACACACCGGGGACACACCGGGGACACACCGGGGGGACACCGGGGACACATGGTGATGTAGAGAAGACATCAGAAAGTGCATTCTGCATGATAGGTCCCCTTTAATGTCAGAGATGATGCAGAAGCAATCCACTGATAATCTGGAACTTTAACTTTGATCAGATGTTTATCAACTCCTTCATCTCCCTCACAGCTCATCAGTACTGACAGCATCTCCACTGACTCATGGAGCACAGAGTGAGTCTGTGGAAGCTCAAACTCTCTCCCTCACACATTCACCTTCTCTTTGTTACTCTGATCAATATGCAGTCATTAGCAAAAGTGGAACAAATAATTTAAATGTATTTGTTCAAATTCAGAAAATCATAAATACAAACAGATGAAGTTCAGTCAGTGAACTGACCTGAGAGCCTCCAGTCTGCAGTTTGGACTCTTTAGTCCAGAGATCAGCAGCTCCACTCCTGAATCCTTCAGAACGTTTAAACTCAGGTCCAGATCTCTCAGATGGATGTTGGACTTCAGAACTGAGGCCAGAGCAGAACAGCTGATCTCTGACAACCTGCAGCTCTGCAGTCTGAATAAAGAAAACATGATGAGGAAACAAATCAGTTTATAATCAGATGTTACTCAACATTTAAATGAATGGGAACAAAAACAAAATGTCTTCTTCAGAAAGTAAACTTTATTTAATGTAAAACTAATATCACTTCAGATGAACTTTAGTCAGACGTTATTGTTTACTAAATATTAAAAACATAGATTTACTTTTTACAACTAACATCTATTCCAATTCCTTCAAGAATCAGACAACATCTAAGTCTGCAGTTCTTACTTTAGTAGCTACAAATGAAAATATGAATAAAAGAACATTTACAACTGAATGGATGCAAGTTAATGATGTAGAAGAATCAGGATGAATATCTAATGAAACATGAGATCTCCAGCAGTAACAGAGAGTCAGTGAACTGACCTGAGAGTCTGCAGTCTGCAGTCTGGACCCTCCAGAAGATCTCTCAGCTCCACTCCTGAATCCTGCAGAGCGTTGAGACTCAGGTCCAGATCTCTCAGATGGATGTTGGACTTCAGAGCTGAGATCAGAGCAGAACAGCTGATCTCTGACAAACTGCAGCTCCTCAGACTGAATAAAGAAAACATGATGTAAGTTTAGAAAACAATGTTCCTGTTTGAAATAACTCCAGGTTTAATAATCTGTTCAGAGTTAAACAGGGTTTCAAAGTTCTCCTATCTGCTATCTTTAGGCATATATTCTGGGTCTCAGATATATAACAATATATAAAAACATCTCTATGATGTGTTTTGCTCCAAATACCAAACAGATCCTACATTTTAGAAATCCCTCATATCCCTCTGTTCCAGCTGTTAGTGTGACGACCCCTGCTTTAAGGTCTCCTGTGGTGTGTGTGTGTAGGGCCCTTTAATGTTCCTCCTCTGCTTGTGTCCGTCTGATTGAGGACACCTGACGCCCTGATTGAGGACACCTGACGGCTGGCGGAGGATTAAGAGGGCTGGGCCAGACTCTCGATTTCTCTCTCCCGCAGAGGACCTGACCACGGAGCAGCCACGTCGCTTAGCCTTTTTGCTTTTCCCTTTGTGTTAGTTTTTTTTGGTTTACGTTAAACTTTTGTTAATAAATATATTTTTCATCTATGTTCTTGTCCTTCCCACGCTTTTTGTTATGGCCAAGAGCCCGGCCATGACAGATGGGGGCTCGTCCACTTCTTTTATCTGTGATACAGCAACGGATAGGTAAGATTTGTGTGGGGAGTTGGTGCGCGTGTATAAAGTTTGTTGGGAGCGCGTTTGCAGTGCGGCCGGTTTCTTTGTTTCGGCTCGTTGTGGGAAGGACATTTCAGATCGTTGTTTGGGGACATATTTGATTACTTTGTGAGGCTTTGATTTGTTTGGTATTATATTTCGGGAGAGTGGTTGCTAGTTGTTCTTAGCCGTGGTCAGCTGTTTGTTTTGTTTTTTTCCTTTTTCTCTCGTGGGGGTTTGTTGGTGCGTTGCAGGTGGAGCAGTGCGGAGTTTTGCCTGGCAGGTTAAGCGGCGGTTCCCCTGGGATTGTTGAGCGGGGTGTGTAGTGTTGCAGAGAAAGTGGTTGAAGCTTCGGCTTGGGAGCATGGCCGTGGTCACAGTAGTGTTGCTAGCTTGCTAGTCGCTTTGCTGGGCCAGCGGTCTCCGGTGCATAAATACCCACCACAAGTAACTGCATGAAGACTAGGGAGGAGATTAGTCAGTGGGATGGTGAGTTAGTGGGGAAACTCCAATCAGAACATTAGTGTTGTTCCACTTTGGACGCATCACGCATAATAAGCGTGGTGGTATCTGTCCGGTTTGTTTTTGCGTTTGTTTTTTGTTCTCATCTCTCGGTTTAAAGGTCCGGTGTTGTGTTCCAGTGAGGGGTCGTTGTAAGTTAATATGGCTGACGTAGAGGCATTTGTTGAAGCTCCGTCTCAGGAGTTGCTTGGTACTTTTTCAAGAGAGCAGCTGCTCTTAATTGCTGAGCATTTCGCTGTGTCTATTGTCGGGGATAGAAGGGTGAAAGACAACATAAAAGACTCTATAGTGTCGACGTTAAGGGAGACGGGAGTTTTTGCTGCAAAGGAAGAAGGGGTTTTGTTAAAACCTCGTTTTCAGACAAGTGCACTTTCTTTTGAGCAGCAGAGGGAAATGTTGTTGTTACAGTTGGAACATGACAAAAGGAAGTATGAGTTGGGAATTGAAAAGGAAATCACAGTGGAGCGGATGCGACAAGAATCTGAGAAAGCCAAGATAGAGTTGGAGGGACATCGTCTGGCTATTCTCAGAGATGGCGCGTTGTCCGGTGAGGGGCAGGGTGAACAGGTGACCAGGTCTCCTCATCGCTTTGATATTAATAACCTGCGCTTGCTGTCTCACTTTAATGAAAGTGATCCCGACACGTTTTTCTTATTATTTGAACGTGTAGCTAGGGCTAGAGATTGGCCTGATGCAGACTGCGCTCTGATGCTTCAGTGTGTTCTCACAGGAAGAGCACAGTCTGCATATTCCTCCTTATGTCTGGAAGATAGCTCTCGCTATAGTAAAGTAAAATCGGCGGTGCTTAGAGCATATGAACTGGTGCCAGAGGCCTATCGACAGCGTTTTAGGTTCTTTGAGCAAAAACAAGATCAGACATATGTGGAGATGGCGAGGGATTTGTCTGTTCATTTTAAGCGTTGGTTAACTGCTCTTGAAATCGCTTCTTTTGACGATTTGTGTGAACTCATGATTTTGGAACAGTTCAAAAATATTCTTCCTGATCGTATTGCAACATATGTCACTGAACGAAAGGTCGCTTCTGCGGCTGAAGCTGCTGTGGCAGGTGATGAGTTTGTGTTACTTCATAAGAACAGGTTCGGAGGGCGCTCTGGGGCCCTAACCGTTTTTGAAGGAAGTAGAAAGGCTGTTGATGTTGGTTCATTTGGGATGGATCCAAGGAAATTGGGTTTGGTAAAAACTGATGTGGACAACATGGTTAACATTGATAATTGCCACTACTGTCGGGAAAAAGGCCATTGGAAGGCAGATTGTCCTGCGCTTAGAGCAAAATCTGAGGGAGGAAGATGTTTTGTTGGGCCTGTTGCATTGGCTGTGCCTGTGAAAAGCTGC